CAGTGCTTATCCTACAGTGTAGGATAAGCACTGACCTAGTAACTGTGAGGTCGGCAGTTCAAACTCACCAGCTGCTCTTGAAAACCATATATAAGGTCTCTATGAGTTGGGATCGACTCAATGGCACACCACACACCACCACAACAACTACGTTGTTGTAGTTGTGGTATGCCATCAAGTCGATTTATATTTTTATATATAAATCTTTGTTGTTGTTAAGTGATGTCGAGTGGGTTCCGACTTGGGTGCAGAAAACCTCATCTTTCTCCTGCAGAGCAACTGGTAGATTCGAACTGCTATCCTGTGGTTAATAGGTCAGCTCATGATTCACTACTACCAGGGTTCTATATATTATATATATATATTACATACAATAATCACTGAACTGCAAATCACAAGGTTGGCAATTAGAACACACCAAATCTGCAAAGATTTAAAGCCTTGAAGGTCAGTATGAGTTGGAACCAGCTGGATGACACTTAACAACAACAATGTGTGTGTGTGTGTGTGTGTGTGTGTGTGTATTTAAATGGAATCCTGGTGTGGTGCTGTGGGTTAATGCACTGGACTGCAAAGTTGTTTGAACAGCACGGTCAGTGGTTCAATCAAGCTCACCAGCCACTCCTTGAAAACCCTATATAGGTTTGCTATTGGTCAGAACAGATTTGATGACACTTAACAACAACAACAACACACATACACACATTCCTCCTAAAGCAAAGCAGTTAATCTTTGAAAAAATTCACATTCCCATGGAAAACATCAGCATTAAGTTTATGCAATGGGAGCCACCATTGATCCAGTATAATTCAAAGTCTGTGTCTGTAACTGCTTTATTGCATGATATAATGTTGTTGTTGTTGTTAAGTGCCGTCGAGTCAATTCCAACCCATAGCGACCCTGTATAGGGTTTCCGAGGAGCAGCTGGTGAGCTTGAACCACTGACCTTGCAGTTCAAATGGCATGATATGATAGCTATTGAGAAATTGAGTTGTTTAGTAAAAGAGATCAAAACAATATCATAGCATTTTAGATTATAGTTTAGAAATGAAGTGTCAATCTGTTTACCTGTATATGATAGATTTCTGAAGCCATGGTTAGCTCCAGCAACCTACCTCAAACTTTATGTCAGATAACTTTTGTTCAAATTGTTTTCTTTTTAGGCTGTTGAATCCGTAGACTTAAAAGCCTTTGACTGGGGAAGCAGCGCTAAGAATTATTTTCATTATAACCAGGTAACGTTTCTAGAATGAGAACAGTTTCTGAAAAGTCATCCAGGAAGCCATCCCCAGCGATTGGGTTATTGGTACTGTGGTAGGGCTGTGGGGAGTGTTTAGGAGCGTTGACTGGGTAAGGTTTGTTCTCCCTCAGCCAATTCCACAAGAACTCAGGCTTTGTGGTTGGTGTTGTGGACTGGCTCTTCCCTCTTTGCTGGCTCCAAGTCAGAGTTGTCATTGTCATACATTATTCATAACGAGGATGAAAATAGATTGTAAAGTCAGAGAATCCTGGGTCTCTCCTGTACCAGAAGGCTTCAGAAAGTTCATGAAACAATGTAAGTAAAAGGGGATGGAAGTTTTCAATGACCTTTCTGAAGCCCCCTTTTATGTGGTGGGGCTTTGGACAGATGACATTGCATACACTTCTTTTGTAAGCACGCCAGCCACCACTTTTTGCATGCTAAGTGTGAGGTATTTACCCATGCCTTCTTTTTTAAATTTAATTCTCACAACATCCGTGTGGCATAGGTCAGTTAATGCTAATTTGAAGACGAGGAAACGAAGGCTTAGAGATTTCCTATACCTTGCTTTACGTTCCAGAGGAAAATAGTAGGAAGGTATGGCTCCAAAGCACCTTTCCAGCCCTTTTGGTTCTACAGCTTCCCCCACCCCCCATCTCTGAGGTGGGAAGAGTAACGCCATCCTCACAGGAAATCAAACCACAAGAGTGGCTAGCATTTGGTAACAGCTCACTAACAACAGTTCTTACACTTGTCACTCTGTCATTGTGCCTTAGTTTTTTGTTTTGTTTTTAATTGTTGTTGTTCTGGTAATGGTGACCTGAGAAGTAAACTGATAGTTGATGCTTTTAGAAGTTAGTCTCTTATTCTCCCATCTAACTTTGTAAACAGTGTTTAATAGAGAGTGTGCTTATTGTATCTGAGAAAGACTAAAAACGTTCTGTGGATTTTATTGCAGAGTTACCCTCCCACTTACAAAGTGAAAGACATGCCTGTGCCGACTGCAGTTTGGAATGGAGGTCAGGACTGGCTGGCAGACATCAGTGACATTGGGATCTTACTGACCGAGATCACCAATTTGGTGTACCACAAGTACCTTCCCGAATGGGAGCATCTCGACTTTATCTGGGGCTTGGATGCCCCTTGGCGGATGTATAATGAACTTGTTGATCTAATGAGGAAATATCAGTGAAGGCCAGACTTGAGAGATTGAGAGCCAAGTTGTTGATGGATTAAGTGTGTTCTTAGCACAGTGGTGAACCACTCAGCTGCTACCCTGAAGGTCAGCACTGTTAAATCACCAGCTGCTCTGTGGAAGAAAGATGTGGCAGTCTGCTTCTGTAAAGATACGGAAATCCTGTGGGCAGTTCTATCCTGCTCTCCAGGGTCACTATGGGTTGACTTGAAGGCTGTGAAGTTTGTTGTTAATTTCTGTAAAACTCTTGATACTCTTCCCCAGCCCTTTTCTATTTTTATATCCAAGGATAGTCTGATTTTCAAGATGCAAAATTCTCTCTAGTCATGATTAGAAACGTGTTCTTTTTCCACTGTATTTGCTTAAAGATGATCTTGACTGAATATGAAGCTACTGTCTCAATCATGTGCTGCTCAAGTCTTGGAAAACTATCATTGATTTGTGAAGATGTCGTAAACATTCTGTTTATCCTTGAAACTTAAAATATACTATAGTGTTTTTCATTACCCCTGTAAAAGGCAGATTTACACGCATGTTGAAAATGTTAATCCATGTAGTTCATTTGTAAACAATCGGACAGCGCTTGTTCTCATCTCCTTGCCTGAAAAGTCTCCTCAGTCTAATGGCCTCTAAATGATACCTTCTCAAGTCTTCCTTCATTCAGTAGGTACAGAGTCAAGGCCAGTGACATCCAGCTATGTCAGTAATAAAGGTTTCATAATGATACTTACCAAATCTAACTGTGGTAACTGTTACTAAACCAGTGTTTAAACCGTGCAGGTCAAATGAAATTATTTGCTGGAGACTCCAAAAGAAAATTGCACTGACTTAAAAAACAGACCCCAAACTGGTGTGTTTTCAATAGATTGAAGACCGTTACACTCAACTGTTATATATTCGTGAACCCCAATTTCTGTAGCAGAACATTGTTCTACTTGTTTAAGAAGAAGGAAAATTCAATGGAAGGAGTTTATTGCTCTTTTCTTCAACCAGCTGCGGTATTTCATCCATGAGGTCTGTATGAAGCCAACATGCTGAGCATCCCAGTGGGAAGAGTGCCCCAATCCAATTTCACACAGAAGACATGTGAACGTGAATGTTTTTAGATTAAAGCTCAGGGATTCATTGAATTTTTGTAGCTTGACATGTGTTTATATTTGTAATGCTCCTGATTCACATCATTATGTCAAAAGCCTATATTCACATGCTTTTCATGCAATGTTTCTTTATGAGACTGTCAGATGGACTGAATAACCACTCAATTGTTTTTTGTATGATTTGATATGATTGCCTTTGCTACAATAACAATACTTGATATGTGCAGGCAGAGGAATACTGCTTTGTAACATTGAGACTTGTTTAACTTTTCATTAAAACTCGGTGAGCCTCATAGGCCCGCAGGATCGCATTTGTGTGTACTGTCCTTTATTGATGGCCTTTCTAGGCCTCCTTATCCCCCTCTTGTTGATGTTGTTATGTGCCGTGGAGTTGGTTCCGACTCATAGCAACCCTGTATTGGGTTTCTGAGGCTGTAAATCTTTACAGGAGCAGAAAGTCTCATCTTTTTCCTGCGGAACAGCTGGTAGTTTCAAACTGCTGACTGTGAGATTAGCAGCCCAATTCATAACCACTCTGCTACCAGAGCTCCTTCCTTTTTCCCCTAGGGGACTTAAGCTTTCTTTCTTATCTGTCTCCTCCTTAGTCCTTGTAAACCTCACTGATGCTGCCCATGAGCACTTACTTGTTCCTTTCCAAAATGATTGGAGAGAGTGGTCTCAAGGCTAAGAGAGGTTGGAAGATGGTTTAGAAACAGTGGCATTGAAAGTTATCCAGGAGGGTCCAAATGAGTGAGACGGTGAATGGAGACAGTGGTTAACATCATCTTCAAGTAATTGGTGGACTCAGAAGGGACCATGGATTCATGGATTGTCCATCCAGCCCTCTCATGGTACAAAGGAGACATCCAAGGCTAACAGATATAAGCCATGTCATACCAGTGACACAGAGGGCAAGTTTACTCCAACTACTGGTGACCCCTTGTGTGTCAGAGTCAAACTGTTCTCCACGTGGTTTTCAACGGCTGATTTCTTAGAATAGGTTACCAGCCCTTTCTTTCAAGGTAACTTTAGGTGGATTCGGACTGCCAATCTTTCAGTTAGCAGCCAAGCACATTAACCATTTGTAGCACCCACAGACTTTGGTCATGCTGCAGGGTCCCCGAAACAGACTTGGGGCTCGGGATGATCTCTGCCACTATTCTGTGAGCTTGAAGGCATACTCATCTCAGTTTACTACAGGGTCTAGCATGTAGCGAGTCTCAGTAAATAGATTTGAACTGATTACATGTGTGAGAAGCAACAGAAATTTTCATGTGGCCAAATGATGTTGGGAGTCCTGGTGTGGTGCTGGAGGACAATGCACTGGACAGTAAGGTCAGTTTGAACTGCAAGGTTGGCAGTCCAAACCCACCAACCGCTCCCAGAAACTCTATACAGGGTTGCTATGAGTTGGAATCTACTCAACGGCACTTAACAACAACAAAATGACATTAAACCATCTTGGAAGAGTAAGGACTGAGGTAGAATATATGGTTTTTATGGCACCAAGAAAAAATGGAAAAAGTGCACTAGATATAAAGTATGAATCTACAGGAAGTTTCCACCTATGTCCACTGGCCACCTGTGCCCCAAAGAAGCCTTCCTTTTCCTTTGATGAATAACAGTGTTCTGGACAAGAAGCTACACGATTCTGGGACAGTGAGGGGTGTTTCTGTTGGTTGGTTTTCACCACTCAGAGGATAGCTGGCCAGTGGAAGGCTTCCCTGCCATGGGTGACTGTTTTTCTCACTTTGGCCACACCCTGAGGGCTCCCGTTGGTGCCCGTGTGAACGTGTGGCCAGTAAAGCTCCCACACACGAGACAGTTGACAGGAACAATCAAGGGCTACCTGCTATAGATCCACCTTCTGTGGGCTGATTTTTCTGTGTCCTTTCCAAAATTTTCTCTGGGGACTTGTATTCAGTGTGTTGTTGTCATTGTCAGCAGTTGTTAAGTCAAGCCCCGACTCATGACAACCCCAGGTGGAGTAGAATAAAAAAATGTCAGCTCCTTGGCCACCCTCTGAGCAGCTGGGGAGCCACAGAGTTCCCATTGACTAGTTTTTGGAAGTGGATTCCCAGGACTTTTCTTGTCTATTGGAAAGCTCCCTGGAAGCTGTTCAGCATGCAAGCCTCCACTGACAGACACAGGGTGACCGCATTCAAGTGTTTGGGGCAGAATTTTGAGCCCAGGTCTCCTGCATGTTGTTGTTGTTGTTGTTAAGTGTCGTCAAGTCGGTTCCAACCCATAGCGACCCTGAACAGGGTTTCCTAGGCTGTAAATCTTTACAGGAGCAGAAATCCTCCCCTTTCTCCCATGGAGCAGCTGGTAGTTTCGAACTGCTGACCGTGAGGATAGCAGCCCAATTCATAACCACTACACTACCAGGAAGGCAAGAATTCTACCACTGGCTCAGCACTGCCTTCTGCTGAATGTATTGTTGTTGTTAAGTGCCGTCGAGTCAGTGCTGACCCATAGTGACCCTGTATAGGGTTTCCAAGGAGCGGCTGGTGAGCTTGAACCACTAGACTAGCCTAAATGTGGAAATGTTGCACAGTGGTTCTGGTGGTAGTATGGTTACATTGCAGAGTTGCCTTTTTGGTGGCCTCTTGCCCTTGGCAGAGCTGCATAGCCTCATCATATCCTTACAACTCTGGGTGGATTAATTTCATTCCATTCGTGTCTGAGAGTACAGAGCAAGGTTGGAACTTGTGTTGCAAGAAGTCCAGTGAAACATTGGAGGGGTTCTGACTCTTGCTCTCCATGAAACTCTGTTGCTGTTAAGTGCTGTAGAGTTGGTCAGGACTCTTAGCAACCCTGTATAGGGCTTCAAGGTCAGTGTGAACTGCAAGGTCGGTGGTTCAAGCTCCCAAGCTGCTCCTCGGGAATCCTGCACAGGGTCCCTCTGAGTCAGAACTGACTCAATTGCAGTTAACAATCACAGGGCTTACAAGGAGCAACTGAACCACCAACCTTGTTGTTCAAACAGACCTTGTGGTCCAGTGTTTATCCTATAGCACCACACCATGGAGCTCTAGGGTAAGGAAAAGATAGTATTCTGCTAAAATGAAACTTTTTAAAAGTACTCTGTTTACATGGGGAAAAGGAGTGAAGAAAATAAGTGATTCGTTTGCCACCAGAGGGCAGACTGGGCCTTCTTTTCAATCTTGCATTCATTGGTACCTTTTTTCTTAGCAAGATAGTGAAGCATTCCCTTGCTTTGAGTCAACTGGTAATTTAGTGAGGGCTCTTTAGGGTATCTGTAATGGTAGTCATGTCTACTTGGGATTGTGACTGATTCTTGCTGGTTGTTGTTAAAGTGCTGTGGAGTTGATTTTGACTCATATGGACCCTGTAGCTGGTTTGTGAAGCTATGCTACCAGGGTTCCTTCATTCTGGCCTAATGAGTAATAATCCGAACAATTACTCCAAAGAATAGCTGTCCTCCAAATGTGACTTATGAAAATAAAATTTTTCCTAAGTACACAAATGATCAAGGAGCTCTGGTAGTGTAGTGGTTACCAATTGGACTGCTAACCTCAAGGTCAGCAGTTCGAAACTACCAGCTGTTCAGCAGGAGAAAGATGAGGCTTTCTGCTCCCGTAAAGATTTACAGCTTCGGAAACCCTATGCAGGGTCACAATGAGTTGGCACCGACTCCACGGTACTTAACAACAACATAAATGATCAGTACCACAGAACTGCGGCAAAAACAGGTGGGGAGACTGGATAAGTCTTTAACCCAGACCTCAATTTATTAAGCACCAAAATTTAGACTGTTGTCCTTGTTAAGTGCCATCAAGTTTGTTTCAACTCATACTGACCCTGTACAGGGTTTCTGAGGAGCAGCTGGTGAACTTGAAGTACCGACCTTGCTGTTCAAATGGCTTTGCAACATTT